TTGAGCCTCATTAAAAGTTGTTGTTTTCTTTAAAATTGATGGAATTTATATAGACAGTTCACTCTAAAAATAAAATGTGAAACATAAAATCTAACACCTGAAGCGGCTGAATCATTTAATGTCTAAAACTAGGATTAGATTATTCTCTAATATATGAATCCTGCTTATTAATCAACTCTAAATATTAGGTTGGAGTCTTTGGTGTGTTGGAAAGTATGTTGGGTCAGAATCCTGTAACAACTCTTTTTAATACTTAGAATAAAAGTAAGTAATATTTAAAATGTACTGTTTTATAGAGAGCAGGTCTGAATTTATCATTAAGGAGGCTTTATTTCACATTAATCCCAATTGTTCAGACTATTGATTAGAATGGATTTTGTTAAGAGATAATTTTTTTACCCAAATTAACTGTTTTATGGATCAGTAACCAGAGACGAAAAACTGAATCTGAGAAATCCAATAAGCCTGCAGAAAAAAATGTCAGAACTTTATTACTTTATTTTACTCCTATGAGTTGTAGTATTGAAGCAAAGCATTTTTAAAGTAAAATATATATGAAACAATGTGATTGGATATATATATAGGCTATAAAAAAATAAAAATAAAAAAAAACTTTTTGTAAACAAATTTCTATTTAAATAACAGAAGAGAAAATAAGAAGATACATGGAGACTTTTAAAGATTTATTTAAAAAACCAATGTGAGTTTATTATAAAGTGCAATCTTACACTATCCTAGCAAACATATACAAGTATTTGTAATAAATCTGTCAGGGCAACATTCTGCACTTATCCCAATACCCACATACTGAGGCGCTTTAATAGTCTGCCTGCGTTTATAAGTCCTTGTCCATGCCCATAGATCAGTGTCAGCGTGCGGACCTGTGAGAACGTTACTTAGATCTGATACAGACTAATGAAGGCCCTCTCACATTACCTCTGCTGTCAGTCATACAGGTACACGGTGTCGGTTAATCATCAGCATCTCCCTCATTAAGAGACACAGATTCTGACAGAGATTGGCTCTGCTTTCCTGCTTTAGTTGGTGTCCTTGCAGGTGGATGTATGTGATTTATAGTTCTGCAAAACATTTTACACAGTTATCTAACAGGCAGTATTTTATATTCACGAAAATCAGCGATAACATTTAGTTTTACAGTTTTTTTAATGAATAAAAACTTAATAAGCAGGTTCTAATCTCATCTGCAGTTATGACCTACATTTACACAAACTAACATGCTTAATATTTAAAATATCAGCTATATCTCATATTCCAAAAAAAAGGAAGTGGACAACATCTGAGAAATCTATTTTTTGTGAACACAAAAGTAATTTAACTTATCAAAAGAAAGTATTCTTTAATCAGAACAAACTTCACTGGTTAATTCAGTTAAATTCTGTTTATTTATATACTGTAGCACCAATTCACAAACACACGTCATCTGAAGACACTTTACAGAGGCAATTCAACCAGAGAGTACAGTCAGATGGGTTCAAAGTTTTCTTTCTAAGGAAAACCAGCTGTATATATCGACTCTTTGACTGGAAAGCGGTCCCTCACAGCAAGCATGCTTGTAGCGACAGTTGAGAGTAAAACTGCCTTTGAACAGGATAAAATTTGCTGCAAAACAAAGATTTTGACTTTATTTTTAAATCAGTCACATCATATCAAAAATAATTAAATATGTAAAGACTTATAGATAAAGTCAGATGAGGTAAGGCTACAGTATTCCATAGCAAGATGTACGACAATAATACAATAAACTTTATGAATAGCAAAACTTTCTTGGCCTTTGGAATTCAAGCATATTTTAAATGTTTGAAGCATGAACGCTGGGCAAACTGCATTCAGAATCACTCATACAACTTAACTCATATCAAATTAATTCATAAGGGTTGTATACATATGATGACAAACAAGAACTATAAATACAACAGGAGGAGAACCATAGGATGCAACAAAAGTTAGTCGCCTTCCCGTTTCCTTCACTTCTTTGCCTTTTGCACAATAAACATAATCTCAGCTTCAGGCACTTTTTTCAGTATCATTTATCAACCCTGACACATTTTTGGGCTCCTTCTCGTAAAGATTTTTCAAAACACCCTAAGATAAATATGCAGAATGTGATGTTATGTACTATTGTGTGGAGGTGTTGATTCTCAGCTATTAATAACATCTTAAGCACTTATTCTATATTTCCCTGAAGCATTTTTGTTTAGTTGATAAGACTTCATCCATCGATCCATCCATCGATCCATCCATCGATCCATCCATCCATCCATCCATCCATCCATCCATCCATCCATCCATCCATCCATCCATCCTCTACCACTTATTCCGTCAGGGTTGCGGTGGGTCCGGTGTCTGTCTCAGGCAGTCTATGGGCCAGTGGCAGATCGCCAATCTGTAACAGAGCATCACAGGAACACGCTATTACACATGCTAAGCTGTAAAAAAAGCCATATTTATTTGGAGAAAATACAAGCTTGTTCAAAGCAAATTTTAGCTTTCGGAATGAACTTCCTGGAAGTTTCGAAACAAATAAATTTCTGTGTACATGCGTTAAGAACTGTAGAACTGAGTAATGCGTATCATTCTTACATAGCTGATCTTGATCCTCCTTTTTTACTTTAAATTTTAATCCTCAGGTATTAAACTATTAATCATATCTAGAGTAAAAGTAACACTATACCCTTCTTGATTTACACTTTGACTCATTATCAATATGATCAGGGGAACTTAAAACTGATTTAATTCAACTCATTTTTAGAGTTAAAACGTCTATGTTATTCATCCCTACTACAAGCTTAGTGTAACATTTAGAATATATACTTTATTTAAAGTAAATCACATTGGCTATATATTGAGACATCGAGCCAACCACCATCAGGGTCACGGGTCCCAGGTGCCAATCTACAGGATCCATGGACGAAACACATGTTTGGATTTATTTTTACATAGATGAGAAGTTACCAATGAAGTTATCCAGATTGATAGATTTCTTCAATCAGCATTGATGAACCTTTATTAAAGCTAATTTCCAAGCTCTTTCCTTTGTATCCTTGGTTATGTGTTGTCATAAAACACCTTTGCCTTTCCTTTTTTTTTTGTGGATGTATATTTTTATTGGTTTTGAGCCCAAAAATGATGACAAGAATAAAGTGGGACGTCATAGTACGTCCTTCTCTTTAGGTTCTAATGCAGCACTCTATAGTGATTGGTGAGTGCCCATAAAAAAATATAAATAAAAAAGGTAAGTGTTCAGTCTTGGTATGTTATATCTTATTTTCAGTCTTTGTTACATGTTGAGTGAAATCATAGCGCTGCATTAAGAACCACATTGTCTTCAGCCAGTGTCCTTTACGTCTGTGGAGAGAGTAACAGTCAGTCATTATAGCTGGCTGGCATTACTGCTGGGAGCTCCGCAAAGGAGGCGTAAACCAAAGCCATTGTGTCAGTATTTCATTGTGGTCACGTATCCAGTAGACAGAAAATAACAGTTTGCTCAGGCGTGTGAATGAACGTATTGTATTTGCTGGAAAGAGGCTGACTGCTGAGAGATCTTCTTGTCTGGAAAAACAGTAGCGTCTCTAGAATGAGTTGGTTAGGGCAGCTTGGCAGGAGTGAGCCTTGGATTCTCTCCTGTTACCTCTGCATCTTGAATGCATTGTTTGTAACACCATAGTTCAGACTCAATAACATCATAACTGCCATGTTTAGATAGAAAACCTCTAGATGTAGGCAAACTCATAAAAGAAAAACAAATCAACAATAAAATCTTATGAGATTTGAATGTTTAACTCTCACTGGCCTTCAAGGTGAAGACTTTGTTTTTGAAATAAAGTTAAAATAAAGATACTGAGATTAAGAAGGTGAAGCTTTATGGAAGGGAACTTAAAATCTCCCCAGAAACCTGTAAATCTGGACTGTTGTTGGTTCAGCTTCCACCTGTTAAACCCAACTTTCACTAATATCCCCCTGATCGTTAAGTTCAAAAGTGCAAATAGTGATTTAAATGTAAATATGAAATAAGTATTGTTTGGAACCCTTAAAACACTAAATGTTGCCCATGTACACGTGATGTAAGGTTTGCATTATTAGAGTTAGGTTTTATTTTATTTTTTATCTAATTTTTTTTCAGCTTTTATAATTTACTCACTACATTAAAAGAGACTGTATTTGAATAAAAATCTATACTTTACACACCATACTTTCTCAAAACAGGCTTGTTATTTTAGTTACTGTAGTTACTGATAAAGATATGAAATAACAGCTGCAAAAAAACAGGAAAAATCAAGAGAATTGGTTCAGTTGGAGTTTATATGTTTAAAGAAAATACTGAGAGTGACATGGTTGAAGCAGGATAATGGATCAGATTATCAGACACAAAATGCCTCCCCATCAATTCCCCTGTTATAAGATCTCATGTTGATTCTTTCAAATTCTATTTCAAATTTTAATACTACTTGCAAATCTGACTTGCATGCACCATTAAGCTGTTCATTCAGGACCTCTGTTCAGCTCCATTTTCATTAAGCTGTCTAAAATCTTAATTTGGTGCAAAACTAGATCAAGTTAAAAAAATGTAATGTTCTCTAAAACAACACAGTGAGCAAACGAGGAAACTGAACCCATTGTGTACCAGCTACTCAGACCTCTACTGGTTTTAACCCACTAGGCATACCTAAAATGTAGATGTGCAGAATTGCATTACCACTGAAGTGTGCTAAAGTTCATTAAAAGTCTGTTTTGTATCATTTAAATCACAAACTTTATAAATACAGTGAATTACCTGTTTGTTTTTTTTTACTTTTACTAAAGGGATGAGCTACTTTTATATTTCAGTTTTTTTTACTCAGCTGTCTGTATTATTCGATAAGTAAAGAATATGAACACTTTTGACACCTCTGTTGCACATAACTGCACATCGACAGTCCTCATTAGTTGTTATTTATTGCATTAGAGCAGGTAATGATGTGTCCCTGTTCTTCCTCCTGCAGGAACTCTGTCGGCAGCGCATGTCTGTCAAACCTTCTGTCGAACGTCCTGAGCCGATGTCCACTAGGATCAACAGCGTCTCGTCTCAGTTCAGCGATGGCGGTCCGGCCATCAGCCCCTCTGGACGTGGCAGCATCTCCTCATGGAGCGAAGAGCCCTCCCACTCCAACATGGACATCTCTACTGGTCACATGATTCTGGTGAGTCTCCAGTTTAATTGCTTTGTAGTTGTTTCACTGAGTCATGATTCATATCTACACTGAAGGCGTAAGACAGTTATAGATTTTGTGTATAGAAAACATTTCATTTAAATTCAGTTTATTTATATTGCGCCAATTTACAACTCATGTCATCTCAAGGCAGATCATACAGTCAAATTGATTAAATGTTTTCTGTCTGAGGAAAACCAGTTGATTGCATCGACTCATTCACTCAAAGGCAATCTCTCAGACTTAGCATGCTTGTAGCAACAGTGGAGAGTAAAAACTCCCTTTTAACAGGAAGAAACCTCCAGCAGAACCAGGCTTTCAAATTTCAAATCCTTTATTAGACTAAGAATTCCTTACATGTTTTAAGCTTGCTGATTTGTTTTATTCTATCAATATACATTTCACATTACACTTTCAGATTTGTTGAGTATAACTTGCAAAATGTCTGATTTGTCTGATTCTGTTGAAAAATCAGCAGGGATCTTATAGTTTTTTTTTTTTTTTTTATTAGAGTTTTTTAATCATGTAGTTCCAAATTTCTGAACACATCCAGATTTTTGAATGTTCAGAACAACCTGTTATGAGAATAATCCACCACTTTATTAACAGCCATGGAGCATGAAAGACCATGCAGAGAAAAGATTTGACATTATGTTCTAAAGAAGAAGAGCTGGTTTCAATATTGTGTGTCAATTAAAATTTCTTAGCTCAAGCAAGTAGTTACTTTTCAAACTAACCATCTTTGGTGCCTTTATCCAACCAAAGAGTGATTAAAGTAAATAAGAAGAGATTATTGGAAAAATGTTTTAAGCAGGTATATTTCTAAAAAAAAAAAAAGACATGGATAGGAGAGCATAGGAAATAAACTGTTATGAATAATAGAATAAATGCCTATTAACTGAATATATAAGCTTTTTCCAAGGTTATTCCTGTAATTATATGCCCAACTTACTGAAAAGTATTTCTTCTTTGCACATGAAAACCTGTTACTGTTTCGTTGTTGTCTGTCTTTCCCTTTCAATAGGAAAAGTCCATCACATTCCCAAGCTAATGGATACAAATCACATGTTTCATATTCATTTGATTGATTAACTTCTGTTATCTTTTGTTTATAGAAAGCTTCCTTTGCTTCCTCTATCTCTTGTCGTTTCCCATGTGTCATTCCTAATAGCTCTGCTAAACCTTTTTGCCTGAATCTGATACTTCCCCATCTGGTTTTCTACATATTAGAAACATTCTCCTCACGCACAAATACACACCTCTCGTTCCTCACATCGTTCTTTGCATCTCCTTGTCTCCGTTCTTTTGTACATCTCATTACACCCACAGCGTCTATAAGCAGCCCTCTCAGCCTCGTCTATTCCCGCAGATGAAATCTCGATTGAACCTCGGTTGCATTCTGAGTGTCATCGTAATTTCGATGTAAAGCTACTCACTTCAGCAGCCCACCACCTCTTCATCCCTTCCTACTCTCTCACTCTCCACGCATTATGAACCTGCAGACAAGATGTGATAAAGCAGGCTTCTTTTCTTTTTTTTCTTGATGTGTTCAAAGATTCTAATTACCCATGAGATTGTGTACGGCTGAAATGACTCTCTTTGCCGCCTCTGCAGTGAGTTCCTCTGTTGTTCCACGCAGGCACAAAATCAAGCAAAATAAAATGCCTTTGACAAGCGCTGCAGAGCCACAACATGGTATAATGCCTGTATTTAAAGTGCCAAGGTTATATGTGCCTGAAAAATACATCTGGATTTGTGGCAAAGAGGGATGAACATGTCTAGGTACATTTTCCAATAGTGGTGATGAAGTTTTCTCCATTGAGGTTCCATGTCTTACGTGATAGGAGGATGAAATGGAGATATCCATAATTACAGTCTAAATTAATCCAGTTAGCATATGGGATTACGTCAGATTATACTAATAGTCTGAACAGCTTGTATCCAGGATGTTTTCGGTCTACAGAGATGTAAGCTGTCTTAAATGATATAATACAAAATGGATAAAGGTATAGACTATTTTTCAGTATTTTCTTTTTATCTAGGATATTTCTGATTTTTGAGTATCAACATGTCTAAAACCTCTTACATATGTTTAGAGTAACTAATACTAAATTCATTCAACTTGATATACAAAGATATATAAATAATACAATTTATGCACCACAGAGATCTGACACATCAGTTGCCACAACAGGGATCAAATCTGCATTAGGAAGTTTCTAAATCACCATCGAATTTTTCCCTGTACTGTAGCTCATATCTGACCTGTATTTCTGTCAATCCATACACAGTAAGGGATAAAGGTATGTTTTCCACTTCTCTAGTTGGTTTATGTGTTACTAATGTTTAAACCTCCCAGTATTTTGACTGGCTTAATCACCAGTTGTTATATGAAATATTAAAGAAAAAATATGTATCTATATAAATTTTTCAGCACTTTATTTCTTTGAAATACATTTATCATATGATAGAAACCGAATCCTCATCTGAGCCGATTTATATTACAAAAGAAATCATTTTAAGACTAGATTTATTTTTCAATATAAGCTGTAGGCATAAAGTGGTTCTTTAATACAGGTGAATGAACACTACCAGATATGCATTGAAATTTTCTGTTTAAATGCATCCTTTAACTTCTACGACAGTCTGAGACTAATCGGTCACACACAGCCGTAGCTGAAATCAGCACCATGGACAGTTCTGCCTAAACTATGGCGGATCTGAAGTATAAATGTGATTTATTTTTTTACAAATCTGCATGGGAAAGACATATTCACGTATGATCACAGCTTTCCCAACAGTTTCAGCTCCCTTTTGATTTAAAAAAAAAACAAATCATCAACAATTGTGTTAATTTTGATGGTATTGTCAAATATTTTATTTAACCTAAATGTCAAATTTGGTGGGTTTCAAAACTCACAGCAGAATATGTGAGGAGGAATTCTGAAAGGTTAATCCATACCATCACATGTATACTGACTATTAAGAAAAAAGAAATAAAGTTTGAAGAAAATAGTTATAATTACCATATAGTTCTCAGGAGAAGAACGGGAGTTAGCATTAAAACTGGAACTGAGGCACGTGAGGCATCAAAGAAATCTAAAAACCTCTAATAATCCATCAAATAGATCAAACAAAATTGTTAAAAATACTTTGAAGATCATAGTGAAGGGATCTAAAAGAATACCTCAATGTTCCCACTTATTTTGTTTGCTACAGAGCAAACAATGTCAGCAATGCTTAAATTCAGAGAAGTTCACTATTGGATTAAAATGTAATCAGATTTAAAAGATGTATTAGATTTTACCGTATATATATAGGCATTGGTTATCAGAATAAAATGGCTAAAACATGTTGTAAACAAAACTATTGCAGGATAATCTTCTCACACTGTTGATGAATCCTTTAAACTACAAACATGGGATAAACTGTAACTCCACCAAAAGCAGAACATCCCTCTGCTTCACAATGTTCTGCTTCAGCCTTTTAAAAAGTTGAATTGTTTTATTCAGTTGAGTGCAATGAAAAAATTCTCTGTCTGCTTTGTGATTTTTGTGTGTATTTTATCTTTCTTTTACATTAAATTATTCAATTATCCCAGAGAAATCTTCTAGTTAATTGTAAATCGTTTACCTTACAGAGAAATTTAATTCAAGGCCTTTACAGCAAAGTGGCACAGTTGGTAGCTTTATTGCCTGAAGCAAGACAGTCCTCGGATTTATACGGTACCTACATGGGTCCGCATGGGCATCCCTGTCTGTATGTTCTCTGCTTTACCAATAGAACCACAGCATAGAATTTCCCTAGACTGTTGGGAAAATGTTAACTTCCTTCTGGTCTAACTCTGATGAATAGTTTTACATGCAAACAGTAACTGTTTTTTTTTTTTTTTATCACCAGCAGCTACATAATTTAGGTACTCATAAGTGCTACCTACTATTTCACATACTTAGAATAATCATAATTTCAAACATCTGCATGTTTTAATGCAGTCTTTCCAATAGTTTTTTTTTACTGCTCTTGTGTTTCCCAATAGAAGGAAATAAGCGTACAGATGGGAGCACAATTCTGGGGTAACCAAAAAAAAATAAATCAATATAACTAGCGCTCTAAGGTTCTTCATAAATTTGATATGGGTAAGTACACATTTTGGCTATGTGTAGCTGTTAGGTTATTAGAAAACCAACACAACGTATCCATATAAAGAATAGAGAACATCTAAACCAATCAGAGGCAGGCTGAGCAATCAGCTCAGCAGCAAATGTGCAAAGCTCTATTAGTTAGATTAGTCTTAGTCCAACTACAAAATAGATAAATACATAAGATTGCCAATTCTTCAGTCCCTTAAGGTTTACAGTCTGTAGGAAGAAGGCTTCTCTTTGAAGGAAGAGTTTTTCTCTGTATGCCCTGAAAATTAAAGGAACAAATAGCACGGCCAGCTGTTATGAGATGTCTAGCAACAGTCAATCTCTCGTCTTTATTTTGAATATTGTTATGTACTTGTGTTCTCTCCTTTAGCTTTTTTCCTATTTAAAGAGAATGATGAGGACAGTTCAAGATATATACAACATATTTAGTCCTGCAGGTGATTCTGTGTAAAATAGAAAATTTTTTACTGGTATGATGATATAATAGTTTGTGTTACCTTTAATCAAAACACTGCACGTCGTAGTTGAGAGAAGAAGGAAAAGGGAGGAACCAAATTTCTTGTATTTCCTGTTACTTTTTTTAATAATGTATTTATTTTCTGATTTTCATTCATTTTTTAACCTCCTTTTCTGTCTGTCATTTTTTTTTCCTCATGTCCACGTTTTGGAACAGTGCCTGTGACTGCTTATATTTCCATCTAGCAGTCAAAAGTGTCAGTCTTACAAAAATATTCACGCTTACAGGAGACCTCATTTCGAATTCCAACCATGACGTTAACTGCAGACAGGAGCAGCAGGAGCAGAGGGTTTCCTGGCAACAAACCTGGGGCCTCAGCCGACATG